GCTTTCCTCCTCAGATATAAAAAGAACAATATTCTGATTCTAACTCAAAACTTTCAAGTCATTTCTTAGTGTAATTATATATATATATATAAATTTCTAATTAAATATAGGTGAATGAACAAACTCAACAAGTACGTTTATCAATAGAAGCACAAAAAAAATTTGTTGATAAACTTGTTGAATTAACAAATATTGTTAAACGTGTACAAGGTTCAGCTAAAATTAAAGTTAGTTAAATTAATTGAAAAATAAGATTAAGATTTTAATAATTATTAAATATTTTAGGAAGATAAACTTCGTAGTTTGTTATTAGCTGGTGATGATTCACCAGTTAAATTTAATTTTCTTAATTTTGATCCAATACCTTTACCACTTGATCCTGAAGTTAAAATTCGACGAATTATTCCTGATAAAATTAAAATATTTAAAGTAATTCTTTTTTTTTATTTGATATTATAAAAAGAAAAATCAAAAAAACATGATCTCGATATTTTATTTTTTTCTTTAGAGTGCTAAATTACCATTTTTATTCGTATGTGAAACAATAGATGGTGGAGAATATCCATTTATATTTAAAAATGGAGATGATCTTCGACAAGATCAACTAATATTACAAATAATTATGTTAATGGATCGAGTAAGAGATTAATAAATATATTTTTTTTTCTTTTGCATTTTAATTTAAATATAAAATTAGTTTTATAAAAAAAACAAAAAGAATTTTCATCTGTATGTGTTGATTAAATATTGATTTAAATAATTTCGCATTTGAATTCAATAAACAGTTTCAATTGATATAGAAATAATAAATTTGTTTTTTATTTTTTTAGATCCTACGAAAAGAAAATATTGATTTGAAATTAACACCATATAAAGTTTTATCAACAAGTTTAAAATATGGTAAATATCATTTTGTATGTTAATAGATTTTTTAGAAAATTATTTGCATAGCAAATAAAGAGTTTATAGAGTACAATCAAGCTTGTCTTAGAAACATTTTCTTAATCTATGATTGGATAGTTTGGTTAATCAGCTCGAAGCAAAATGATGCTTGTTAAGTGTGTGTGTGTGTGTGTATGTGTTTTCGTTATGAATAATTTTCAACAATCAACTAGCTAATCAATGTATTTTAAAAATGTTAAATTGAATGATTAATAAGAAAATGTTAATAGATAATCGATCATTGTAAGTTAAGTTATTGATGTTGTTACATCTGTCTATGGCATATTCCATGGTTTTTTTTAATGACGAAATACTCTGTAGATTTAGAATGAGGAATTTTTTTTTTCTCCACACCTAGAAAGCTTTTTAAAAATCGTACGATAACTTGTGACTTTTTATCAGAAATATTTACGTACATAACATTTTTATAGTGATAAGAGGAGGATAAGAGTGTATTATTAGCATATCTAACATAAACTTCATTAACATATATTTAATTGAAGGTTTCGTGCAGTTTATTGATTCTCAACCATTACGAAAAGTACTTGAACGCAATCGTACCATTCGACAATATCTACAAACTAAAGCACCAATTACAAATAGTGACGATACGACTCAAAATGAAATTGGTATTCCTCATGATGTTATGGATGCATATGTTAAAAGTTGTGGTTAGGGAATACTGATATCTTTCTATTATATTGATAAATATAATTTCTTTTTTTTTGCTTCAGCGGGATACTGTGTAGTAACGTATCTATTAGGTGTAGGAGATCGACATCTCGATAATCTATTATTACGTGATTCAGGTCAATTATTTCATATTGATTTTGGTTTTATAATGGGTCGTGATCCAAAACCACTACCACAAGCAATGCGGGTTTCAAAAGATATGATGGAGATGTTAGATGATAAACGATTTCTTGACTTTTTGCGTCATTGTTTTACAGCTTTTATTATTCTTCGAAAGTAAATATTAGTTGTTTCTTTTGTTTTTTTTTTATTATGTTATATTGAATTTTAAATTTATTGAAATCGTTTATAGACATGCAAATGTGTTTGCTAATTTATTTTCACTTATGCTTGATGCAAACATACCTGATATAGCATTAGAACGTGATAAAACAGTTAAAAAAGTAATTTGAAAACAAAATTATTAAAATAAAATTAAAAAAAAAAAAAATTTTTTTTTATTTTTTAGTTACTTGATAAATTTCGTCTTGACCTTGATGATGAAAAAGCAATAAGTTATTTAAAAGATTTAATCGATTCGAGTATTGGTGCGATTGTACCACAAGTATATGACTACTTTCATAATTTGTTACTCGCTTTTCGATGATTGAAACGTGTGTTTATATGTATGCTTCCAAATTTTTTTCATGTAAACATATTTCGAGAAAAAGAAAAAAACGAACAATTGTACTCACCCGTTTTTATTTATAATTATTACTATTATTATTATTACTATATTTTTGTTGACATCAATTGTTTTTACGTGTGATTTTCCCTTCTTTTTTTTGCTGCTTTTTCATACGAAAAGCCAGATAACAAGAGAAAAATTTATTTATTATTTTTCAGATTATTTGACAGAAAGCATTAAAAAAATGCCTACTACAAATATTGAACGTCCAAGGTTATCAAGAAACATGCGCGATGCATTAAAACGACATATTCTACGTGAACGACAAAGAAAAAAAGAAGAAGCAGATGCCAATGAAGCTGATAAACAAAGAAGACGTGCAGAAAAGGTTCTTTTTCTTATAAATATTTTCTTCTATTCTCAAAGTTTTATGAAATATCTATAATACAAGTAGAATTTTAGTAACTGTAAATGTTCGTGAAAAATGAGAACCATTAATCTTTTACTCTCACGACACTAATCCAATAGAGTTGATGTTGTGTCAATCACGAGGATGGCTTCCCATGTTGCACGTTCGTTCGCACTATCACTGATATATCGTGGTAGAATAATAACTAATCACTTAAGTATCAACCTCCTGTCGGTTGAGCATCAATATATCGGCAGTTTTTTGTTCGGTTAGAATCATATGAATTAGACAGGCGCTGATTATGACACTGATATGGTTAAAATTGAGCGTAGTCATTCTACTGAGAGGATGTAGAATGGAGCATAGATGACCCACTTGAACTGTTTATCATAAATTATTTTTTGCAAAAATGAATCATTTCGAAGAATGACATGTACGTAGAGGCTTGCAAAGGTGGCTATTTTAGGATTGAATATCAGTTCAGTCATGTCCTCGATTGTACCGTTGTGGTTAGCTTTCGCTTTATTCTTATAAATTCAAATGTCTCTTGTTAAGGTCTTGCTGAAATGGAAGGTCATAAAACAAAAGCTGCAGGTTTTTATCTTCTATCGATAAGAAATTATTTAATTTAAAAATGATCTTGAAATGCTTTTTAATTAGCTATTAGTTCTAATAAAGTTTTCATGCTATTTTAAAGTTCATATAAAACATAGAATAATTATAGAAGAACTGTTTTGCATACGACTCAGTATGAATGAGTCAGAAATGATTCACGTTGTCATAAACGTGACAAACATTAGAATAATCAATCTGCGTAACTAACGATAATAAAAAACGCTTTTTTCGAACTCATAAATCTTAGCCAAGGAATAATGAAAAGAAGTTAAATTTTTGATGAAATATTGTTTCACTAAAGAACTTATACAATTAATCGGGAACCCTTTCGATCCAATATTTTATTATTTCAAATAGATACCCATGTGATTAAAATCAGACAATCAACCAATTGTAATTTGATACTTAAGCGTTTGGTTATTATGCATCTAAAATGACTCGATATGAGGTTAAATTGTTTCTCATATATATATTATCAAGAAGTAAATTGAAGATTAAAATTCAATCTGTTAAAAAAATTTAATTTTTAAATGAACTTTTCTTTTTAGGCTAAAGCATTATCATCATCAAAAGTACAATTAGAAGATAATGCAAAAGATATTCTTGAATTACAACGAATATTAACTGATTTAGAACAACAAAAAATTGAACAGTATAATTTATTAAGACGTGCATTAACTGAAGAAGATCGACGAAAACATTCTCAACAAACTGTAACAAAAGAACCATCATGGACAAGTCTTTATTCACCAAGTAATATTAAAAAGAATTTTGAAAAAAAAAAATCATATTTCATTATTAAAAAAAAAATTTTAAAGATCTTCAAATGGCACAATATGCTCATCATCCTCAACATTATTTATCAGCCCAACAATCTCACCGTTTATTAGCCTATAAACCTCCACCACCTCAACCATCTCAACCACCATCATTTATTCCAACAACAACATCAACAAATATTAGTACCAAACGATCACGTAGTCCATCATCATCTCATATTTATTCTTCACCATCAAATAAATCATCACGCTCAAGTCTTGTTCCTTCAATGCATACAAGTAAAAAGCTTTTTTTTTTGTATTTATTAAAAACGAAAAATTTTATTTAGGACCATTAAGTCCAAATTCAACATATTCATCATCATCGTCTCAACCAGTAGTTCGTAATGGTGCCCCTAGTTTTCCATCACCACAAAGTCAATCAGCATTTTCAGCTTATCTTGGTTATATCCCACCATCATCAGGTGCTCCTGGTCCATCAGCTTCATATCCAAGTCCAATACCACGTGTTCGACCATCATCACAAATGCCAAGTATATCAATTTCAAGAAAAAATAAATTATTCAATCAAATAAAATATTTTTTCTATTTCTTATAGATTATTTAAATCAGTTACAATTTTTAGCCCAACCAATTGTTGATCCAAAACAACAAGGAGCAAATATTTATTCACATCATCCAATGTTAAGACCTTCAAAAAATGGATCAATTATGAATGGTTATCCATTACAACCTCAACAGTAGTATTTTGTTCTTGATTATTTTTTTTCTTAGTTTGTGTGTTCAATGTTGTTCATACATATATATTTTTTTAAATTGATTAAATGTTTGAATGTATGTATTATCTAGAATTTATTTCAGATATTTATTTGTAAACAAGAAAATATTTATTTAAATGAATTATTCATATAAAAAAATTAAAGATCAATTATTATCAGATACAATTCCTATTAGTGATCGAGATTCAAATGAACAAACAATTCGACAAAGAATATTAACTCGTCGACGGGTAAGAATCAATAATAAGAACTATTAAAATTTTTAAAAAATTTAATAGAAAAATATGCTAAACTTAATTTAAAACGATTTCTAGGTTCATCAATGATGTTAATATTTATGATTTTTGTAACAATCTAAGAATTATATTGCTCTTTTCTTCTCAATATGAGAACTGAACTTCGATGAAAAAATATTTTTTTCGTTTGCTTATGATCGATCATCATTCTTCATTAATATTAATATAATGAGTAATAGCAAATGTCATGTATCTGCTTTTTTTCGTTTCCCCTTCGAAATAAAATGCTAATTCTTTACTTATCTAACACGAGATAATAAGTCATTGGCAGTAATACTTATCTATCATTATGTATAAATAATTAATTTGATTATAAAACAAAAAAATTATATTTTATTCCTAGAGTGAACCTTCACTAGCTATTGATCAAGAATCCAATAATTATCAACGTAGCCCTTATCATCTATCGTATGGTAATTTATATGATCAAGCTGATGATTTAATTGATACAGTATTTGAAGTTCCAACAAAATGTGTTGAACAAGCAAAAGAAGTTGGTAAACGTGTTGTTCAATATGTTGTTGATCATAGTCATCTTCCACATTGGTTACTTGATAATGAATATCTTATATCAGGACATCGTCCACCAATGCCAAGTTTTAAAGAATGTTTTGCATCTATTTTTCGTCTTCATACAGAAACAGTTAATATATGGACACATTTATTAGGTACATTATTTTTTATTATAATGGCTATTTATTTTATTTCAAGACCATCAAGTGAAGTTCATATTGAACAAAAATTAATTTTTGCTGCATTTTTTCTTGGTGCTATTATGTGTTTGTTATGTTCAACATTATATCATACACTTTATTGTCATTCACCGGAAATTTCTAAATTTTTCAGCAAGTAAAATACGAGATAATATTTATGATTTTTTCTGTATTAATTATTGATATTTAGACTTGATTATTGTGGAATAGCATTTTTAATTATTGGATCAATTATTCCATTACTTTATTATCAATTTTATTGTGAATTTGGTATAAAAGTGGCTTATTTAACATTCATTGGTGTATTAGGTATTGGATGTATTATTGTTTCAATGTGGGATAAATTTTCTGCATCGCACTATCGTGTCTATCGAGCTTGTAAGTTATTTAAATGATTAAAAAAAATAACAAAGAATTTTTCAAGAGAAAACTTTTAGTACTCTTTATTACATTTGGTATATTTGGCTTTATTCCAACTTGTCATTATATGATACAATTCGGGATAGAACATGCTTTTACAGGTATGATGATTAATATCTTTCTTTGTCATTATATTTTATGCAATATATATATATATGAATATAAACGCATATGTTTGTACGAATCCATGACCACAAGGTTACTTCGTATTCCTAGCCTATTGCGTTTATTTTTTCAATGAATAATATAGGTCTATTGTGCATTTTAGTTGGTGCCATACATTATTTACTATTAGTCGCTGTACTTTATCTTACTGGTGCTTGTCTTTATGCTGGTAAATAAAACTAGATTTTTATGAATTCATTCTTGTTTTTATGTGTATGTAGCACGAATACCTGAACGATTAGCTCCCGGACTTTTTGATATTTGGGTAAAAAAAAAAAATTTTGTTCTTTGTTATTTGTTAATAACCTTTTTTTTAATGCTCAGTTCCAAAGTCATCAATTATTTCATGTATTTGTTGTGGTTGCAGCATGTGTTCACTATTATGGCATATGTGTACTATCCTATAATCAACAACATTTTTTTGGTGATTGTCGAAATATTTTAAGCCCAAGTACTGTTCCGATAACTTCAATGATCAGTTAATCAAATTAAAATTAACATAGAATATTATATTCGTGAAGTTTTCTTCCTTACTTTTCTAGTTTGATATTTTATGGATATTGTATATGTTGTGTTTTTCTTTTGTACTTTCCAGCACATTTTTATTATTTCTAATGTCGTGTTTTCTAAGCACAAACTTTCTGTAAACTTTTCAGGTTTCATTGAAAAAAAAAAGTTCATAGGTGTATATCATGGTTTTTCTACTTTTCATTCGTTTATATATATGTTAACGTACTTTTATTATTTCAAAAATATATTCCACATTTTTTTTTGAAAGCAATTGATCTATTTCAATGTTTCAAAATGAAAGATTTTAAAAATAAGTTGAATTATAAATTTAATAATAATGTTCCTTTTTTTAGATAATTTCTTTCTATATTATTCCCATCGTAAACATTTATGGAAAACGAAGTATCTACTAAAAAACAAGACATTCGACGACGATTACTTGAACGAACTGTTGTAAGATAAAGTTTTATTATAAGAAATACTATAAAAAGTTTTTCACTAGGTCTTATGAGAAAAACATCATGGAGGACAAGTTTGAGATCATTTTTTGAGAGATTATTAATGACTAATTAAAGGTCACTCTCTTTTCTTTCCAAGATTTCTGAGGAATAGCTGATCAGAAATATTTGAAACTTTCAGAAAAGATAGGTCTCGATGAGTAGAGTGAAAATTGTCACAGACTCCAAATTCTTAAATACTTCCTTCAAGGCAATATCTGGATAACAAAGGCTAGAAATCACCTTGCTTTTTCAGTTGTAATACGTCGACAAGAGCTGAAAATTTTTCTTCTTGTAGATGTTAGACACTGTTTCAGATGTCTTCTTCATTTTTTTGATCTTTTTATCTTTTCAACTAAAAAGATTAAACTGTTGAGCTTATCTCCAGAACTATAATTTTGTTTTGTAAAATCTGTCAAAAATCAATGGTGGACTTTTTATAACCGAGAACATAGAGCCAAAAATTTCAGCTCGATCGAGTGTACTATGTCAGGGAAATGTTGGCCGTTCTACATCCTATTTTTTTTTGTATAAAAACTGATTTCGAGCAAAACAAATCTCGCTGAATATATCAGGGCCTTGTTTTCGCCGACTAAATTTTGCATACAAAGAATAATCGTAGCACCAGTTGTTCTGTTTGAAGTTTCGACATTTGGATTTAGTAAAAGTACTAGCTTTCAACGAAGAGCCCTAATTTATATGATATTTGATAAACGACATTTTGAGGCTATATCAGTAATTGAAAATATAATTCCATATAAATTTAGGCGTCAAATTCGTTGAGTGTGCAGCATATCTATGGTATTGCATTTTCTTAATGAAGAATGAGATTTTGAAGTTCGCGCTCTAACGACAAATAGGGTTCATTTTTGACTGGACGCGCATTAGTCATATCAACTGTTAAACTCTATTGTTAGGAATTTAAAAAAAAAAGATGTATCAACCGCGGAAAACTTAAGAGAAGAGATAAAATTGTTGGCCGATTTATTCTTTCCGACACATCGTTTGTTTGATTATTCCATTTCATATTCATTTGTGAAAATGTATAAATTAAACCGTAATCAATGTTAATTAGCAATTATCCTGATAACAAATCGGTCGAACTCAAAACTCATTGAATTTCATTGTGATGAGTATAATATTTATATTCACCGTAAACTTAAATTTTCGCAAATTTAACTACAATATAAGTTAAGATGGAAACAAACACCCTATGAGTGTATATATGTCAGGTTATATCTTGCCTAATTAAGTATTCTATCTTGTTATTTTCAACTTTATTGTGTTATTCTTCAGTAGGGGTTCAGAGATAAAGCACTATTTTTAAAGAAATATGGATACTAAGAAAAATGTTTGAGCTACCGTTAGGTGCTACTGTTGGGCGGTTGTTTGAAGGTGTGGCCGCACCATCATGGTCCACTGTACCATCCCAACCTCGTTTTTTCGATGTGGTACACACTGCTGATATGTATGCCCTCTATATATAACTTTTAGAAGGATCCCACCAATAAAACTGTTGTAATGCTCTATGCAGTTATAACTATTGAGAAATAATTTCCATTCTTAGAGTGAATCTACTGGTGATACTGATACAAAACCATCTTATTTACGAAGTTATTCCAATCCATTGAAAACAGATATATCTACTGACGATGATGATCTAATTGATACAGTTCTTGAAGTTCCAACAAAATGTGTTGAACAAGCAAAAGAAGTTGGTAAACGTGTTGTTCAATATGTTGTTGATCATAGTCATCTTCCACATTGGTTACTTGATAATGAATATCTTATATCAGGACATCGTCCACCAATGCCAAGTTTTAAAGAATGTTTTGCATCTATTTTTCGTCTTCATACAGAAACAGTTAATATATGGACACATTTATTAGGAACACTATTTTTTATTATAGTGGCAATCTATTTTATTTCACGACCATCAAGTGAAATTCATATTGAACAAAAATTAACGTTTGGCGCATTTTTTCTCGGAGCTATTCTTTGTTTATTATTTTCAACATTATATCATACACTTTCTTGTCATTCACTAAAAGTTTCAAAACTTTTTAATAAGTAAGAAAAAAGAAACATAGAAGTTTGACTTCTTATTTTCTATTATTAATGAATATAAACATAATTTTAGACTTGATTATTGTGGTATATCAATATTAATTATTGCATCATTCATTCCATGGCTTTATTATGGATTCTATTGTGAATTTGGAACGAAAGTAGCCTATTTGTTAATAACTATTTTATTAGGTACTGGATGTATTATTGTTTCAATGTGGGATAAATTTGCTGCACCAGAATATCGTACATGTCGAGCACGTACGTCTTATATAGAAAAAAAAGAATATTCTTTTTTTTTATATCTGTAGTTCTTTTCATTGCATTTGGTCTTTTTGGTTTTGTTCCAACTTGTCATTATGCCTTATCATTTGGTTTTAAACATGCGTTTACAAGTATGTAAAAAAAAAACAATATTTAAAAACAAAAATTTTATTTAAGAATCATACAAATGAATTTAGTAAGTTTAATATAAAGCTTATTATGAAATTTTCCAATATCAAATAAAATATAGAATAAGTTCAATTTTCTTATTTTATATTTAATGATTTAAATATTTTAGCGGGTGCTGCTCAATGGTTAGTGGTCATGGCTGTCTTATATATTTCTGGTGCTTGTCTTTATGCTGGTAAATTAATGATATTAATCTACAGTGCTGTGAAAAATTATAGAATCAATATCGTTGTATTGTTGTTGTTTTCGCATCAAGATGACTTTAGTTTTACTTGAAAGGCACATGTACAGACAAAGAAATTTCTATTGAACATTTTCATATTGAGAAGTTTAAAAAATCATTTATATTTCAATTTAAAATGAAATGTTATCGACGAAAGTGAAATAGCTTACAAACATCATCTAATGTTCACTATTTTAATAAGGATATTTGAAACTCGTAGGACTGATATTTCAACAACGAATACGAATAGCAGATACTCTATGCGACAAAAACAATAAGATCCAAAATTTGACACATCGCTTTGTTTGAAAGAGACATACGTTGTCCAGACTATTGACAGTATCTGTTTTGACACTGTATGTTCATCTGTAACAAAGTGATATGTCGAGTTTTCGAGCTTCTCGCTTTATCGTATCTGTTGTTGAAAAATCAGTCTTGTAAATGTTTTAAATATCCTTGCTAAAATACTGGACTTAGGCGATATTTTCAAGTTATTTTAGCTTGTTCAATAACATCTTATTTCAAATTTAAATATAAATGATTTTTCAAATTTTTGCTATAAAAATGTTCGGTAGCAGTTTCTCTATCTGTCTATGTTACTTTCAAGCAAAACTAAAATCATCTTGATATAAAAACAACGAAACTACGAAATTGATGCAATAAATTTTTCGCAGACAAAATCTGACCGATTTCAATAAATCTTATGACTTAACTTCTTTCGAACGTCTAAAGTGAAAAAGAACGAGGAAACAATTGAAATCGAACAGATGATTCTATAATTTTTCATAACACTTTACATGTATTGTATTTTCATTTTAAATAGCTCGTATACCTGAACGATTAGCTCCTGGTTACTTTGATATCTGGGTAAGAAATATTTTTCTTTCACCTTTTTTGATTTTTTCAAAGTTTTTTTTAGTTTCAAAGTCATCAAATTTTTCACGTATTTGTTGTAGCTGCAGCATGTGTCCATTATTATGGATTATGTGTGCTTTCACTTCATCAATCAAGCATTGGTGATTGTCGTAAACGTATAATACCACCATTTAGTAGTGTTCTCAATTCAATGTTTGATTAAACAATGAAGAAAAAATCCGAAGAAATTTAAACAAAAAAGAATTTATCATTTATATTGGTCTGAGCATTTAGTTTTTCATTTGTATTCCCGCTTTGTTGTATTTTGTTTTCTAACTGTTTCTCATCAGTTTAACACTAATCCTTTTAATTGCACCAAAGCACTTCCTTTTTTACTGTGATAATTAATAAAAAAAAACCGAAGTATAAAATAAAAAAGAAACAAGCTTAATACAAAAACGAAAAAATATCTTATTGCTCAATCGAATGGCATAATATATCAATATGTTCTTGAGAGGCGCTTTTATAGATACATTATAATCAGCTGGTTTTATGCAATTAATGCTAATTTTAATGTTCTTTTTTTTTGTTAAAAAATATTGTACGAATTGTAAAAAAGACACTTCATGATGCGAAGACAACATTTCCAAATTAATGACAATGTCAACCTACGGCATCTTTTTTTCTGCCATGCAGAGTTGAAGTGCTTCTATGAATAAAGTAACCTATAAGAAATAATCAAAAGAAACAGAACAAAAAAAAAGCTAAAAAAATTCCCAGTGAGAAAAAAAACCACTGTTTCATTAAGCTATGTCTACTTCATTTCACTCAAGAATTTTCTTTTACTTCGAATACTTGCTCTCATGTCTGGATCTCAACCACCAAAAGGGCGAGGACGCGGCCGTACAGCCATACACTCAACCGAACCATCACTACCCTCAATCACTCCATCTATTGATGTATCAGCTGCTACAACACCAGCTACAATTGATACTTCATCATCATCCACCACTCCTGTAACCGATGTATCAGTGGCAACGACATCTACAACAACTGATGAGAGTACAGCTGACACTGGCATCTCATCGGCTTCAAGTATTTGTCAAACACCAACAGTTGCTTCATCAACTGGCAAAGGTATTCGAGGTCGTGGTAGACCTCCCAAACGAGATACTGTACCTGACGATCCTTATTGGACTGTCAACAACTTGACATATGCACAATTTCATTCAAATACTCGACCAACAAAACCTAATGAACTAGGAACACTTGGTCAACAAATACAAGTCATCGTCAACTATTTTCCTATACTTCAATTTCCACACAAAGGTCTCGTTTATAAATATCATATTCAAATACGAAATAGGAAAGATTTCGAAATTCCTCGAGAACGTCGACGGTAATTATACTTTTCATTGTCTTTCTTTTCATATTTCATACTATTATTCGAATTACAGTTTACTTTACACCTCATGGTTGAATCGATATTGTCGAAAATATTCACAAGTTGATCAACATAAAATTGTTTATGATAATCAATCAACAATCCTCGTATTTGATGAACCATTACCTAATATTAATGAAAATGTAAGTAATAATGTCTATTCTCTTCAATTGCTACATCGAAACAATGTTGTAGAGCGTTGCTGAGATCATAGAAGGACCCAATCGTTCAAATCGACAAGAACCTCACAAAGTGATTGTTCGAAAAGCTGGAAATCCAGTTGATTTAGCTTTGATACAGAATACAAATCAATTTTTTGATACAGACAATTTATCAAACTATACACCGGAAGATCTTCAGAATATCAAACAAATTCTTTCGATTGCATTACATGAACATTGTTCATCGCATGCTACTTTCATTTACAATCGATGTTTTTTTTCCTTAACAAAAGATGGACATTATGGAGAATGGGATCTTGGTTTAGGAAAAGCATTATGGCGTGGTTTTTATTCATGTCTTGTCTTTGCTAAAGGAACACATCAACTTCTCATGAATCTTGATAGTGAGTTTCAATACATGAAACATTATGTTCATTTAGAAATATATTTTTCTTTTTTTCCGATTATCCTAGTCAAACATACAGTGTATATGAAAAAACAATCATTTCTTGAATTTGTTTGTGAAGTTATGTTGCATAGTCCATGTGGTAAGCGAAAATATGGTCGTCATAGAGATGTTCAGACGGCAAATGGTGATGATGTGCTGAGATTTCTTGACATTAATACTAATCCGACTTACAACCACGAAGCAGATTTTCTACGCAAACATTGTAAACGTAGGTATTTGGTTGCTTTCACAGGAAATAAACTCTTTTGTAAAATTAGATCTTCGTGTTCGATCTCAAAATGCAGATAAACCCATAGTTTACGAGATTGCTCAATTAGGACAATCAGCATCAACACAAACGTTTCAATGGAAAACGAATAATAATAAAACTGTCACAGTTGAACAATATTATAAAGAGCAATATAACTTGAATTTGAAGTAGGTCTATGAAATTCAATGTTTCTTAGTATAATTTGATTTTTTTTGGTGAATCTATAGATATCCATCTTTACCTGTATTACAGATGCGTAATGGATCGTATATACCAATGGAATTGGTAGATGTTGAACCTGTTAGAGTGAAAAAAATTACTGACGACCAAAGAGCTCTTCTTTGTAGAAATGCATCAATGACACCTAGAGAATATCGTCAATCTATCAAGAATATTCGTGAGAATCCAAATCAACAACATTTTGAAGAAGATCCATTTGTTGCTGCTTGGAATTTGAATATTCATAGAGATATGTTGATATTACCAGCACGAGTATTGCCAATGCCTGAGATAGTTTATACTGATCAATATCGAGTTACTGCTGAAGCAGTTCGTGATCTAGGAACATGGGAAATGAGGCCAACAAAATTTCACAAACCTGCAACATTTCCACGCATATGGGGCATCATTAATTTATCATCACCAAGTCAACAGGAATGCGAAGACTTCTATAATGAACTTCGTATTGTAGCACAACAGCGAGGTATTGACTGTCATCCACCTGAAATTTATAAAGAATATAATTCTGAACATGGGACAATTGATCAGAGCGTCGAATTATTGAAACAAACAATGGGTCAAAATAATGATTGCAAGTTTTGTATTGTTATTTTACCACTCAAAACCACCCGAGAGAGCAAACAAGCTTACAGAAATTTTAAAAAAATGGTAAACTGATTAGGAAAAAATAGAATTAGAAAGACATTTGTTCTATTTAGTGTGAATTAGAGCTTGGCTTTGGAGTTGTTACTCAAATGATTCAACGTACGAATGCTGTCATCGGCACACGAAAAGATCGAACGAAATGGGATTATGCGAAATTGAACAATATTTTACTTAAAATAAATACCAAGCTAAATGGAACAAATTCTGTTCTCAAAGTGCAGTAAGTCTTTATATTTTAATTCATAAGACAGCGTTATACAGTTGCTAATTATTATGAAGCAACTTTGAGTAATTCTCAAAAGTGATTTTAATAGGATACTTAAGTGCTCTATGAAAATAAAGGTAGGCATAATGAGAAGAAATTTTGTTTGAAGTTCTTCTAGGCTATCTTTAGTACAAAGAGAGAGACAATGATTTTCAGACACGACAGTTGAAAGTATATCTGAAAGTGGCAAGGTATCCTGGTATTTAAGCATTTTAAATGCTTTGTATTTTCTGCCGATAAATCGTCTAATCATCATTTTATCACTTGTCTAACAAGTCTAAACTGAATAGAAAGTGGAAATCGAATCCTACTAAAAACATAACATAGGCACTCACCCACATACTTTAGATGTGACACAGAAAAAAAATTAGCTTGTTTTTGCTTTAATTGATCTTCTATAATCTAAAAGCACAGATCACAAAGATATTACATAGAAGAAAATTATTAAATACGTTTTAGATTCTATGATCAAACTAAAACTTTAATCAAAATGAAAGTTTTTATTTGCTGTGATTGATGCTTTAGTTGAATTCCTTTACAGACTACTGAGGATCAGTATTGGATACAAGATTATTCTTATCTCTATGATCCGTATTGAAATTTAATTGATTGTATTATTTGTTCTTTAGTGATATTATCAATCGTTTTTTCTCACAAGGTCACCGTGTCATGTATGTGGGTGCTGATTTGAGTCATCTTGCTCCAAGTAGTGGTACTCAACCATCAGTTGTAGCTGTTGTTGCATCAGCGGATGACGTGCCTAATCGATATTTTAAAGAAGTTTATCAACAACTACGACCAGCACAAGCACGAGGTGAAAGTCGCGAATATATTGTTAGTATGAAAGATATTATGAAATCTTTGATCCAACAATATGTTGAACATCGAGGTTATCCACCCAATGCAATTGTTATTTATCGAGATGGGATTTCTGAAGGTGAATTCGATTCTGTCTTTGAAAAAGAACTAATAGCAATACGTGAAGCTTGTGTTGATTTATCACCAGTTTATCGACCATATCTTACATATATTGTTGTTAATAAAAAACATCATACAAGATTATTTCCAACAACTTCAGAGAAAAATGTTCCAGCTGGTACTGTTCTTGATTCACATGACATCACTAAAGCTACTACTTATGATTTCTATTTAAACAGTCATCATGGAGCATTAGTAAAAAGATTATTTTGAAAATTATCATTGATGTATTTCAATTTATATTGATATTTTAGGGAACAAGTCGTCCAACTCATTATCACGTTTTATATGATGATAATAAACTACTACCCGATGAAGTTCAAATGTTAACTTATGCACTTTGCTATACATATGCTCGATGTACTCGTTCAGTATCAATTCCAGCACCAGTAAAATATGCTGATTTATTAGCTTTTCGTGCTGCTTATTATATAAATGACAATGATGAATCGGACATGTAAGTGTAGTTTTTTCTTCGATCTTGTATTTGTGTATCTTGTTTTCTTTTAGAGAATCAGTTGCATCAGAACCAAAGATTTTGATTAATCAAGATACGGAGATAAAGAATACAATAAGAAGTGAACGAATTGTTCTAAGTTCAATAATCGCAAGAGACTGTCCGTTCTTTTTATAAATATAATTTATATTTTTTTATTATCATTAAATCTCATCTATGTCTATTTTTTGGAAATAAATGTATGATGAAGTTTATTGGCTTGTCAGGTTATAGGTAATTTAATGCTAGAAATCATTGATAAGTCTTTGTTCAAA